TTTTTTTTTTTTTTTTTTTTTTTTTTTGTCTTGTTCGAGAGGGAACTGGCGGTGACGGACTCTGCCTAACCGTGGAAACTCGTTCGTAAGACTCTTGAGAGACATTCTTCTTCGTACGTCGATCGTTATCGCGTACGACGTGCTCGATTCAACGATTTTGCAAACGTTCCTTACGGATACCCGTGGATCACTTACGGATTCGTCCGTTACTCAGAACAGATTTCGCAATCGCCGTGCGAGAGAAGATAAAATTCATTGACGAGATGTTCAGTCGGTGGATCGGAGATCAACGAGAGGTGGCGTCGCGGGCGTAACACGGGTCGTATCGGTTCGTGATTTCGGTCCAAATACATTCCGATCAGGACCGATCGGTGGTGACTGTGGGAGGCTGCGAGGAAACCGATTTCCAAGCCTTCAGGTCTCGATCGATCGGCTCTGCTTCTTCTTTCTCTTTTTCTCTCTTTCTCTGTTGCTCTTACCCCGATACGTCTGTTTGTTCCTCTCGGTCGGTCCCCAGAGACACGCGTTCGGATCTTTCCCTCTCTCGGTGTATACGTGTATACATACGTATGTATGTATGATGTATGTATATATGTATCTCCTCTGTTATAAAGTGTTTCACGGTGTTCCGTCGAGATCGCTCTCTCGCCTCGGCGTGGCTCCTTTATTGCGTTTCACTTTCGCGATGAGCTTGCCCGTCCGATCGGGGCGTGGCAAAAGTGTAACGCAAGAGAGGTCCGAGGCCATCGTCGGCCGTGGATCAGCGTACAGTGTGTATATGCGTGAGGCAAGAAAAACAGGGCCTCTCTGCTGCGATCCTCTCTCGACCATCACACCCGTGTACCCATCGAGGAGAGATCTCCGCGGCCGCGGCTGGGCCGTAGAAGCTTAGTCACACCTTTGGGCCTGCTCGTCTGACGCGGCGTTGCATCGATCTCCTTACGAAATCGAAGCTCTTAAAATGGATTTTGAACACCGCGTGCACGCGCGGCCGTGGTTGCACCACCACGAGTGCCCCCGTAATTCCTATGCGCATGCTGATGGCACCGGCGGTAAGGCTTCAAATAATGCGACAAAAAAAAAAAGAAAATAAATGTACAAGTCTCCGGAGACCAACAAAGTTACAAAGACATTTCTGTATTTCGTAGGGAAATACATTTGAATGTTTCGACTGCGCGTCTGGTCGCGTCGTGATTTATCTTCGTGCACGATGATGATCAGGACACGTCAACGGACGCGCGTTAACACGATCGTCGTCTACCGGCGCGCTGTTCTTTTTCTCTGTATTTCCGATTCTCGGTTTCAGGACTGTCTCTGGTTTTTCAATCAAGGTCGAGGCTTTTCGTTCTCGCGTTCCACGAGAGATGCCACGGCATCGTTCTGTAATATCGAGAAGAACGCCCGGCATTCCAAGCTAGAAAGCGCCAAATCGTTTCTCACGCGTCACTGGAATCTCCATCAGCTATAATATCGTTTCGCCGATCTCGTATTTCTTACGTGCGCGCGCGCGCGTACACACTCCTTTGATAATGAAGACGCACCGAACCTTTCCCATCAACCACGCGCGCGCGCTTTCGTCTCGCGACCGTCTCATTGATCGCGTTTACCCAAGGTCAAGAGAATCCTCCCGATCGCGAACGCTGGCCTTCTACACCTGCGCTACTTGCGGTGAACGGTCGGTGCAAGGTAGAAAGTACCGATAAATTGCCACCTAATATCGCGCCGGAAGCCGTATACGCTCGTGTTCCAGCTGTACCAGAGCTCGTAACCGCGTTAAGTCCCAATCGTCCATCGGTGTGATGAGGTATTCGTGATTTCGAAATGTGTAAATCGTCCGGGTGAGTTACCGGGTGCCAATTCCCGAAGATTCATGCGAACGATAGGTCTACGTTCCCCCGTCCGGTTCGATCTGGATCCCGTATATAATTAATCGAACTGAGCCACTTACTACCAAGGTCGTAACACCTCCTCCCGTTCGTTTGCGTCGGTGTTGGCTGTCGGTTAGAAAGTATACTCGGTGAATATTCGTAGTCGGGGAGTCAAAAGAGCGGAAGACGATTAGATCGTTTCGCCCCGGGTACAGTTTTCAGCGGATTCACCGCAGGAAACGAGTGCAGGGATGTATGTATCGTCGTCAGCAGCGTGTGGGATTGCCGATGGCGCCTTCGTCAGCCTCTTCGCGCAGGTTCGTTTGTTCCGTTTTCGCTGATCATCGTCGGTAGGAAATACGCTGATTTTCCCGTGTCACGTAGATCAACTGCGTACGTTCAGCTTTCCCACGTACGCTGCGAATTCTGTTGCCTGCGATATGTCGTGTTATCGCGCTTTGGTTTTTCTTTTCGTCTGGTTTTCAATCTGTCTAGTTTGGTCGTTGGTAAAATTGAATGGCACCGTACCAGAGACTTCTTATTACTATCGGCCCAGGACGACTTCCAATCGACGCGGATCCGCTCATTGGTTTCGACTTTTATAGTCTTCGGCGGATCACCGATAGGCACCACGAATTACTCTCTCGTTCACGGGGCTAAAAATTCACTTTCTAGCTCGTAAAATCGAAAATTGTCGTTCTTGCCCGGGAACGAATTAGCTTGCGATCGTTCGATCTTTTCTGTTCGCGAACATCTGTCTCCCAAGCTTGAACGGGAATGTAACTGCTTCGAAATCCGATACACTTTACATTCTAATTATCGAGAGCCTGCGCTTTTTCAACGAAAGAAGAAACTGTTCCGTGTCGACTGTTACTCTTCCAAACGATCCGTGAATCATTCTCCGAACCAACGGGGGCGAGAATAAATATATTGTACTTTGCGAGATTGAAAGAAACTTCGGAGACTTGGTCTCACCCCGTTGAATCAACGTCATTCATAGACTACGGATTTTATGCATTTATCATTTGCAACTCGGTGCATTAAAAAATTTAATAAACCGTAGTGATGTTGTGTATATTGTTTGAAACCCGATTAGAATCCTTACTAAGAAAAATCTGAATTTATTCAACTTCAGTTTCTATAAATTACCTGCTTCGCAAAAGTCTGTATTTGCATAAACTTCCGCAGTCTACACGACCGTCTTCACCCCGCTCCTATCCGTAGATTGATTCACGGTAATTAGAATCACGCGTTTCCACCCTCACGCTAGAAAGTAACTAAAAATGTTGTCGCTTTAGATCGACTTTACCGTCTACTTAATCTAGATGTAACTCCTCGCGGTCCGATCGTGCTCGATCGGATGTTCCAGAGAACATATTAGGCACGTAACTTGGTTAAGGCACCTGTCGGTCCACGACCGACGTCTCCAGCAGCTCCTCCTCCTCCCCATTTCGTCCATCCCCGCGGTAGACTTTACCGATCGAGAAACAAACGTGTACGGAGTATAATTCCCTTTTCGATCGCGGTTAAAGTCTAGATTTCGTGTTCTGAAAGACGAATTTTCCTAACTCTAATTTTCGGTCCGAGAGGAACATAGCCCCCGAGCTCGGACCACGCTACGGTACAATCTTCTCGTCAGAGAAAATACACCAGATTCATGGACTGGTTCTATCCCACCGGAATCGGATCGTCCCGCACTCGATCGGACGGTTCGATCTTTTAACTAATCGTACCCGAAACGATCGGGTCCCTCGGCTCAGGTATTGTTCCCGGGTGACAACGGCGGCGAACTGACGTCCCTCTGTTCCTCCTGCACGCTTTCCGGTCTGCTGGTGGTGCTGCTCGACCTCGAGCTAAGGTTATCCCGATCGCTGAAGTACGACGAGTCGCCACGTTTCTCCTCCAGCTGAAGCTGTTGTTTGTCGTTCCGGAAATCGTCCGCCCCGTGGCCGAGCAATCCAGGGAAGTACGGTATACCTTGCCGTTGCGAGGTGATCTTCCCCATGAAGCTACGGATCTCTTCGAAATAGGAATCGTCCGCCCTCGGCAGCTGTCCGTGGTACCTCGATCGGACCTCGTCGAGTATCGTCGGTCCGTCAGCGTCGTGCTTCTTCAGGTGTCTGTCGAGATTGGTCTGCTGGCCGAAACATCGATCGCAGAGCGGACACTTGAACGGTTTCTCTTTGTTGTGGATGTTTCGTACGTGGCGTTGAAGATTGCTCGAGATGCTGAAGCTTCTTTCGCAGTATTTACACTTGTACGGTTGCTCGCCGGTATGCGTCCTGAGATGCCGCGTCAGATTCGCCGATCTCGGGAACACTTTGCCGCAGAACTTGCACGAGTATCGGTCCTTCGGTTTTAAACCGGCTTGCACGGTGATCGAGTACGGTGGAAGACTGGACGAGGTTTGTTGTTGCTGTTGTTGTTGCTGTTGCTGCGGTTGTTGCTGTTGGGTCGGATGGCTTTGTTGTTGCTGTTGCTGTTGGCCGGCCGAGGGGCTTGGTATCCTAGCGGTGGCTTGCGACGAGGAGGACGATGTGGAGGAGGTTGTGGAGGGGAATCTGTTCGGTGGTAGCGGTACCATGGTGGGCAGGGCTCGGACTTGGATCTTGGGCAGATCCGGAACCGGTGAACCGTGATGGTGCGACCGGTACATGGCTTCCAGGACTAATGGATGGACGGCGTGGTGTTGAGGGAACAGTACCGTGTGATAAGGCAGACTGTTGCCCAGGCTGTTCTGGTTCAGTACCTCTATCTCGTTCTGGTTCTCGTCCCGTAGCCTCTCCTTCTTGTGATCCACGCGAAGATCGAGCGGCTCGCAGTCCAGGTCGTCCTGGTGGGGCTGCGGTGGCCTCGCCGCGGGACTCATGTGGGGCTGTTGGTGTTGTTGTTGCTGCTGTTGCTGTTGATTCGTCGGACTGGAGAGGCCGCGACCGTGGCCGTGGCTCAGATCGTACGGTAACTCTTCGACGTCCGGCACACGGACGCTCAGGGGGTATATGCTCGCTTGTTTTGGGCTGATGTGGCCCGGCATTTTTCTTGGACTCGAATCCTTCTCTCGCATGGCTGGAGGATACTTCGGGTCGTGCAACAACGTCGGGGGCAGGGTGATGCTACCGAGATATCCGCTCATCACACCGCCTCTATCACCCTCGTCCTTGCTCCTGCTTGTCGCTCGTGGTGGTGACCTGGAATCACACGCATCGTACATTCTTTCGTTGGCGTATCAACAGACGGATCCTTCGAACTAATTACAGGGGATCGATCGGGGTTATTCACCAATTCGGAAATCATCGTCGATCAAACGAAACTGTCCTGTCACGAATCGAAATCGCGTTACACGGTGTTCCTTTCTTTGTTCCGAGAACGATCCGTGTTAGAATCGATTGGCGAACGACGACGATTTGGAAACATTAGTGAAAGGATCCTGCTTTCGGACCGGTGATCCGCCGTGTGTACCCAGATCGTACGTGTAAATCCGAGCGAGACGAAAGGGGACGAGTGAATCAGTGCTCGATAGATCAAGGCGTGAACCGTCCGGATGATAAATGTGTTCGCGTTTGCCCGGAGGCGACGATACCTGGGCGATTTTTCGAAGACTTATAGAAACTGATCTCTCGGCCTCTCATACTGCTCGCATTTTTCTGCCGCGACGTCAGATCGATCGATATTATTAAAGCGTCCGAGAGAGACCCCGGACACGTGGACGACGGGACGGTGTGTAACGGGCAGCGGTTGTCAAGATAAATCGACGTCTGTCCTTTGTGTATAAAATGAAGCAACGATATTTTCTTTATGATTCGAAAGAGGTACACCACGGTGAAAATATGGGAGCCACTGGGGGATTGGTGACGCAGGGAACAGCACGAATATATTTAAGGCTACCGGACTCTCGAAGATCTCTTTCGGTCGGCACGTGCTATCTAACTTAATCAATGAATCATATATCATTCGGTCGCCGATGTCGTGCCGTACAGAAAGGGAATGCGATCCTCGAAGAGATTCATTTTCATAACTTTTGATGGACACCTTAATTCCATCGCGTTGTAACTGTTACTACACACTCTGAGTCCCTCAAACGCGACCGCGCGTGAAAGTTGGTCGCTTCTTAATTGATTTCGTAATTGTAGCTTGTCCGAGGAAAGGAATTGTGATCCATTCGGGGTTCCATGATCGTATTACGTACAACGGATCATACAAGAAATTACGAGGAAATACACGTTGCCCGCGCTACCGGAGACAGCGCGTCGCGCGAACGTCTCTCGCCTTATCGGCCGTTGAAATCACCGGGGCGAGCATTACTTATGCGAGCGTTAAAATCTCCGTTCAGGCTCGCGACCGCTACACCGCCCCGTTACGTCCGATTCCGTTCCTCGTGCACGCGAAACCAATATTCCTCTCCTTTACACTCGATTGGGTGAATTTCTCGATAAAGGAAGTCCTCTCTCGTCGTTAATTCGAGAAATCGAGGAATCTTTTTGCCAGCCGGTGTGCGTCGTTTCGCCTCGGACTCGATCCAGTTACCGAAGAGGCTAGTCCTCAGCTGGTTGTCCGGTTCCGATGAAAGAGAAATCCGCTGGCGACGTTGACAGAGTCCCGCGGTGAAGGTGAAGGGGGGACAAAGGGGGAAAAAAAAGGAGGAGTCGCGAAAGAGCAAGAACCCCGTTCCGGGCGTAAAAGGAGCAAAAGCAAGCAACATCGAAGACTCGCGACGGACAATAGTGAAAAGCGTTAATTACGAGCGCGGAGAATGCGAGTACGACTGGAGAGGGACCGGTGTACGAGGCCTGGAATCGAAAGTGTACCGAACGTTTCAAAAACACCGGTCCTGTGTACCCGATGATGCGGAAACGGCGAACGGGTTCGGTTACAAGCCATTAAACGATCGTTGTTGCGCAAAAAAAAAAACGGTCATAAACTCTTCACGGAGTCGATAGAAATGATTGTCGTTCGTTCGTGTGGTTTCAACGATACCTACTATAGGTACCGTTTATTGTCTGAATCGGCTGCAATAAAAAGGAGCTCGGGATCGTTGTCGCATAGGCACTTTACTCTCTTTTTATCGTTTCCCGCGCGAACACAATATCGTAGAAAGCGATAGACGTGCCTGTCATCGGTCTAGATGTTGTTGATTAAGATTCGATTTACATACATCCATACATCATATGTACTTTCCACCGTTCCCCTTTGATAGCCAGATCGCGAGGAGAAACTTCGCTAATCAGATTTTTCAGGGGGCACCAGCTTAAGCGACGTAATGTCCGTCTACTATAGATATCAGGATCTGAATTAATTTTCCGTCGCGAATTTTCGAATTGTCGGTCGTACGAACTGTTTAACGAGCTGTCTGTATGTGTCTGTTGACCGTTCAGGGATTTCCGGTAACTTAATCGCTAGCAGTGCGCGCGCGCGCTTCTCGGAATTTCGTTTCCCTCGAGCGAGCTCGAGACGGCAGTGCGGGCTTTATCTCCCGAAAGGTGGAGTTTCACCGAGCGACTTCGTGAGTAATGTCCACGGGAAACGGTAGCTGGTTCCGTGGAACAGCGGGTGAAATAAGACGAAGGAAAGGCCCGTCCGAGAGAGCACGATCCTTAAAGACTGACATCTGTTACGTGAATCAAGCCCCCGGACTACTGACGTCGACTGCGAGATCGGCCGAGATCCACGATCCAGTTTTCGGTTTCTAGAAAGTCGGGATGAGCCGGGCGTGGTTTGTCTCTCGTCCCCTCTTCCTTTCTCTCCCTCTTTCTCTGTCTTTCACCCTTCGCCTCTCGCTCTGTGTCGTCCTTGTCGGGTATGATTTCTCTCCCGACATTCACCTACGTGTACCATAAGTGTACACGGGTTTCAGGGACGTGCATGTGTTACCGATCGCGCGATAGAATAATTATTTCAGCCGCATAAGGCCATTAGTTCATGAAATATTGAATGTTCAGTGCCGATGAGCCATCGGACACTCATCGAGAATTTACTGTACTTCGTTTCGATTTAAGGATTGACAGTACTGTTGCATCGACTGCCATAATCGGTGTGAGAAGCGTTTTTTTCGTACTCGCCGGATATTTCTAGCAAAACATCGACACACAAGTTTCGTGCCTGTATGTTGTGTGATAAATAAACACACACTGGTCATGCAACGCATAACCGTTCGCCAGTTGTCACCGGAACGGGCCGTGTCCCTGGCCCGGGCTGTCAGCCGAGCGGGGAAGATTTCAATCGGTTGTTTCTTTTTTTCGCGTGACGCAAGTCCGTTCTTTTTTCTCTTTCGATCGAGCAGAAAAGACACGGGTAGAGGCGGGAGAGAGAGAGAGAGAGAGAGAGAGAGAGAGAGACGAATCGAGAAGCATTCGCTGTTGCTCCCCCCGCACCGATATTCAAATTCACCGTTTAACGAGCAGTTTTATTGTTCGACCGGGGACATGAAGCATCCATCGTCACGGAATCGCAGGTCAACCGATAATCCCGTCGACGAAGACTTATTTTGCGCAATTAAATGACGCAAGTGTCGCCTTTACTCCAACGTTAACCCCAACATCTACACCTTACCGATTCCGTGTTTTTTTTCTGTAATGACATTTCCTTCGCCCGTAACAATGTTTTCTCACGATTATTTAAACGATCTCGACAGTTCGTCTGCGATCTGTCCTCTGTCCGCGAGCGAAAATCCAGATGTAGGCGAGCGACGAAAAATGACCAAGAAGGAGGAGAAGAAGAAGAAGAAAGAAGGACGCATCGATCCGTGTCCTTCCTCGTTACACGAGCCCCGTCGTATGAGGCACGATCGTTCGTTCCGATAACGGGGCCAAGAAGTGCCGGTGCATTTAATTACGAACGCGCGGCCCGCCTTAAGCACCGTGTGCTGTCCGGTGATAAACCGCCAGAGCGGCCGCCGCGTCGCTGAATTCATACCCATCGCGACGCGAAAATATTGCTCCACGTGTGCGAGAACCGTCGCAAAGCTTTTTGGCGGGTAGAGTCGTCACCACCGTCGTGGTCCAATCTCGTCTCGTTATCGTCGTAATCACCTGGACTTACGACGCCTGCGGACACATTACAGGGGGATAAACAATGATGCAAGGAAGAAGAAAGGGAACGGGGCCGGTGAAAGGTGGGCAAGGCGATAATACAAGATCTCAGGGGTTCGGTTCCTGTGCGCGTCGGCTTAATCGTTTTCAATGTTACTTTCATTCCGGCTGACAGCGCGACACCGTTCATTATTCATCGTGGGGTTCGCGTTTCGTGGCGAGAGCTCGCAACCGCGGGCCTGGTCTGGCGGAATTAATTTGTCGACAACATATCGCTCGCGTCGAGCCGCCGCCGCCGCTTATACACACGTAAGCGTGCATCGACGGTAATCCGGCGATTATTATTTATGATTTCGGTTCTCGGTACAGCATAAAAAACTCCGAAGGTGTTCCCACCCCCTCCCCCCGTGTATACCGGCCGGCAGGATCGACGCCCACGCGCGACACCTCCGGTAGTCGCGCGCGGTAACCTTGCGGAGACAGCTGAATCGAAGTCGCGCGATTCGGCGGAGGGACGGAGAAAGAAGCGTGGTGCTGCGGGAATGGTAGTGAGGGGTAAAAGTGAGAGAAAGAAACGAGATATATCGTTTGGTATTGCCGACCCCAGATACAGGTATCTCGTACGTACGGCTCTCGATACACGCGCGGACGTTAATGAGACGTCCGAACCGGGTGTGGATATGTATATGTATATGTGTGGATACCCTATCCGACGGTTTCTTCTTTTCCATGAAATACTAATTACGCCCGGCTCCGGCGTGGTTCACTCGATAGACCTTAAACCGACGCGACTAGCTGAAAGACGCACGGAATAAATAGTCGGGGCTAATCTACGAGCCTCGCAAATTGGTTCGCGTTCGAGAAAGTGTTCCCCGCGCTACTAGTAGAAACCGTCCGTCTCTAGTTAAACACGCCTGAAACGGAGATTCTGTTTTGCGGTGGAGTTCTACCAGTTGCGGTCGTACACACGTACACACATTTCTCATGGAACGTGTCTCGTATAATTTTCGTTTCCCCCACAGTTAAATGATTCCTGCCTGGTGGAATATTATAAACGCGGTTGAACAGTCGATAAAATTTCCCGGCAATGAATCTGCCATCGTTTAGGTAGAATTTTCCATCGCACCGTGTCGCAACTGCACCAATTCATTTAGCCTCGAATC